TTTCTTAAGGTTTTTGTAGCATTTGTCAGAAGTGTAAACCCCGGTGAGGCCCCACACTCTGTTACTCACAATCTGACTAACATGGTCTACAAAGTATCTCCTTCGAGCTGCCTGTGAGTCTTTATGTGCGTCTGTAAAAGCTGTCAGGGGCGTCTTACGCACGTCATCAGCAGCTCCAGAGAGGCTTGCTGATGAAAACGGTGGGCAAGCTCTGGTTTTTCTGCCTGCGTCGAATGAAAGGAGCCGTTAGTCAGCCTTAAAGAGACACACCGGCCTGCTGGAGCTATTAATAGTCGCACAGACGGCCTTTTTTTCCAGGAGAAAGCTGGCTTCAGATGCTCTGTATCCAGCCAGGCCATCCCTGCTCATTTCCTCCCCGCCCTACAGCCTACAGAATGCCATGTACTGTGACAAATCTCTCATAAATGTATTTTTAGCCACAAACCCACCACAGTTTTCTATTTATACGGCCATTTGCGTATATAATGAACACATAAACAACCAAAGCCAGTGAGGTGGAGAACTTATAAGACTGTGTTATTCTAGACATTAAACATCAACCCGGAGATATTTTACTGCTAAATCGTTCATCAATTATTACTTAAACCCAGACTTCACACACGGTTAAACCAGCTGTCGTCTGGTTTCACTTAGAACCATTTCACTACTCTTTAACCACAGAGAGGATTAACGTCTCAGAGAGCTCTTTCGCTTTTAGAAGAGAACTATGAAAACTAAGAAGTCATTCATAAACACTGCTGCACTGTAGACAATCAATTAAAAGATTTACTTTCATATGTTGCAAGTTAATTTGTTTTTTTTTCAAGCTGTATTCTAAGAAAATTTACAAATGTAAATAGAAATCCTTGAGGGTTTTGTTTTGTGTCAACACAAAGGTTTGGCTTGAGCACGCCACTGCCTCTGCCTCACAATAAGGGTCCCAAAACATAATTTGGAGTCAAAAGACGGATGTTTTTTACGCCCTACTCGTGGTATCAATGCATTCCATGTAATTGCTAAGTTAATATCAATAAAAACAAGCTAAAAAAATACATGTTTGCTGCCTATCTGTGCCTTCAATTTTGAAATAGGCAAGGAAACCAAAATGTTTTCAAAAATATTCCAGGGCCAATTCCATCTCAAATTATACATATTGTTGTATATTAGTACATTGAACTCGTTATTTATTCTAATCAGACATATAAACACACAAAGAAAGTGACTTTATTCAAACAGAGGAGCTTTCAGGAGCGTTACCTCCACCCTTAGGCGGTGGGTGGGGTACCATTTTACTGACATGTCTGGTAAAGCTCATTATTTAGCAGCTGGTATCAGAGAGTGAGGTCATGCATGTATACCGCTTCTCTTTTTATGAGAAGATGTCATCTGCAGAGGCAATGTGTGTGTCTGAGTCAGAGGGATTCATTTGACAGGCTTCCACGGAAGAAGACGATTCTCAGTTCCTTAAACGTCGGATTTTGGGGAGTTGCCATTATGTCCGTTTAAAACAGTGTTAATTCATGAGGTCATTTTTTATTTCTGACAACCAAGATCACAGTTTTGATGACATGTCCACACTGCGCGTCACTGGAAATTTGAACTCAATATAACCTCTCTGGTAGTGACACCTTCTGTAGAATTTGACTGTTTTAGATTGAATGATATCTGGAAAAACAAAATATTAATATTATAGAGAATGATGACAGCCATCCACCCACACATGATAACCCACAGATAACAGATAACGGCAGTATGAATGACTTAATTTTATGAACAATCAAGATCAAACAGCTTCTGTTTAGAAATAGTAACTCACACTCAGTGATTAGCTCTGTTAGGATCTTCTCAAAAGATATACAGTACACAATATTTGTATTTTTCATGAACTGAAAATGCAATGAAAGCTATCAAATTAGACTAAGGAATAAATATGTACGCCTTAGTAATAGAAGAGGTCAACTATATCTGCCACTGATCCTATACAATTAAATGAACTAAGTGACAACAGCACAAGTCTAACACCTCGCTAGGGCCACCTAGAGGCTGACAGGTTTGTTACCTCCCAGAGAAAAAGCATTGGATAGATGAAGATTACTATTTATTTGCACTATATTTGTCTGTTTATCTGTGTTTTGTGTTGCACTGTTGGAGAAGCCTGTGACACAAGATTTTCATCAACATACCTATACTGTAGCTATGTTCGTTTGACAAATAAAGAACCTTGAACCTTGAAGCAAGAGAATCTAAGAAAATGCTAATGGCTCTGCAAAAAATGTAAAGATTATCCTGAGGAAAAGCCTGTGAGAGGGCTCAGCTCAATCAAAGAGGTGTATTCCCTTCAGTATTAATGATCTTAGCCAATTAAATGACAAATTGTCAGCTAAATTATGATTTATATACATGAAAAGTGTACATTTCAGCCTGAAACTGTGGGGAAATGGTGGCAAGTCAAAAGGGAAACTTTGAGCTGACAGTGTCACGACAAATAAGGTCAGGTCAAAATGTTCCTCCCCAAAATATGAAGGCAGTTTGAAGAAGCTTAATGGCTGACTAACAGCGCCACCCTTAGGCCCAGGAGTATCAAATATGTTGAATGTTTTTGATCTATATGTTGTGTTATAGTGTAAAGCAAATATACCCATTCATTCAAATTGCACACATTTATTAGGTAACACTTTATAAATAAAGCATCCTTTGTAAAGGATTGTAGCTCAAATTAAAAAATTGTCAATAATTACTCATTTTAAGGTAATAATTCCAAGTTAAAATACTTTTTGTTCAGGATTGCTAGACATGAAAAAACCCTATAAATTACTTAAGTAGTCCTAGAAAAGACAACTTAAAGTGGACCTATCATGCTATATTTGAATAATATAGTGTAGGACCATACCTATATAAGGCATATTTATACTTTGTTTTTTCAAAATACCAAACAGATCATGCATTTTAGCCATGCCTCATTTCGCTCAATTTGCATTGTTTTAGCTCTGTTTTTGCAAGGGCTGATTCTGTGAGAACAGCACCATCTACTGGCCTGGCATATGTACTACAGCGTCTCCAGCGCTTTCGAACGGCAATGGCCGTGCCTGTCTCCTCCTGATTGGTGGAGTTGGCCCAATAGCCGTAGCGCCACCGTCCTGACAGTGTTCAAATCTGGATCAGTTTTTATCAGATCCGTTGCAGCCCCTTTTTTAGAGATTTGGGTATGGAGGAAAATAGAGAGGGTTGTGTTTTCTGACACTTGGTGAGTTCCCTGGAACACCGGGGACACATATTCATGAATAAAAGACGTACAAAAGTGCATTTTGCATGATAGGTCCCCTTTAACTAATGTGCATTTAAAGAAAAGAGGAATAGTTTTGGCGAAAACTAAAAAGGTACCATGGGGTACAGGAATTAGTTTTGGTTTCAAGACCCTGGTTCACGGAGGACACCAAAAAAGTCCTCGAAAGACAAGGTAAACTTAACTATGTGCATTTAAAAATAAAAAAGAGGAATAGTTTCGGCGAAAACGAAAAGGTACCATGGGGTCAGATTATAATTTTCCAAAGGGGGGTTCGTTCAGATGTGTGTATCTCACACTGCAGTGTAACTGTAATTCATGTATCTTTGCTTTTAAATTAGTGTTTTTAGATATCATTTCATAATATGTTTCTTAAATGCTATTAATGTCTTTCATTTTTGTAAAGTAAAGTAAAGTAAAGTAAAGTAAAGTGCCTTGCCTTGCCTTGCTAAACAGAAACAGATTACAAACTCCTGCCCAGGTTTGGGAAGTAACGGATTACGGTACATGTAACGAGTTTACGTAATCAGGACACCAAAAAAAGGTAACTGTATTACATTTACAAAAAACAAGTAGTCAGATTACTGTTATATTTAACAAAGAAATAGAGATTAATTGCAGGATTACAGTGTTACAATACATCATGAAATAAAGATCCATGTATTATATGTAGATGTACTGAATTAATTGTTTTTATGGGTTATATTTAGGCTACTTTCATTCTTCTTTATATTAAATACATGTCTTTTTTAGTGCAGTAGGTAGACACCTGATTTATTTAACAAAAATAGAGTCTATGCTTTTGATTGATGTATTAAGTTTGACATGTAACTAGCTATTGTAGTTAAATGTGTATCCCCCCCCTTATGTGCCCCATTCATTGGTCCATTCATTGGTACTAGTCCTACAACTATACCCTGAAAAATGCTTGAGGGTGGGAATAATAGAAACATCTTTTGGGGGGGGGGGGTGCATGTTATGACAGGCCTGGTTATCACAATATGCCCCCCCTTAATATCTTACAAAATAAAAGGGTCACATTCATGAAACTTGCTCCATTCATTGGTACTAGTCCTACAACTATACCCTGAAAAATGCTTGAGGGTGGGATTAATAGAAACATCTTTTTGGGTGGGGTGCATTTTATGATAGGCCAGATTCAGAATGACAAAGATCCTCAGTGAAGCACAAGCCCATGTTTCTCACTAAATTGTAAATACAATTTATAAAAAAGATCAGTTCAATGCAGCTAATGTCGTCTCAGTGTTATTGCATGATGTTAAAATTGGTTTGCCATGAATTTAGTGATGGATTGTAAACATTTGAAATGTAGCATTTAAGTGTTTCTCAGTTACAAGGTTGTTGTTTTAATAAATCAGACACTGATGGTGCAGCACTGTACTGTACCTCTTTATATAGGCATTTTTTCCCTAACAATTTTTTTTTGCGCTGATCAGGGGGTACTTGGCTGAATTCTTTTTTCAAAGGGGGTACATTATTGAAAAAAGTTTGAGAACCACTGCTCTAAAGTACCGCAGTCTCTTCTCCTAAGTCCTTTTGAATTCTCCTATCCACTATCCCTTAACCCCATGACGTTTCACTCAGAGGTCAAGGAATAGACGATAGGGTTAGACGTTAGGAGCTGATTTTTTGATTATCCGACCGTAACCCCTCCCCTTTCTCGCCTCCGTCCTGGGGGAGGGCGCTAGTTCTCAGCATGTTCAGGCGGAAGTAGACGGCTCAGAGCTGCGGAACCTTCCTTCCACAGTAATTTCTCACGCCACATCCGCCCGGACCCTTGGTAAACAACCGGCACACTGTGAGCCTCACACCCCCAGACCCAAACACCCACAACATGGATTTCTCTATCCGGGCCGCGAACGTGGAGGACTGCAAGGACATCGCGCGGATGATCGTGGTGAGGCGGCACGTGCACAGATATAGTGACTCACGGGTTTACGTCAGTGCATAATGCATAAATACAACACGATTTAGCTGTTATTGGATAATGGGCATTTCATTATTGGTGTTATTGAAGCGCACAAGCACAAGCAGGGTTGGGGGGGTTACTGTACAAATGTAATCCGTTACAATAACTAGTCACATGTCAAGAAATGTAATCAGTAACGTCATCTGAGTATCAAAATATAACAGTAAAGTAACCTTACTTTTGGATAACCTCAATATCAAATGCAATGCAAATACAAACATGATAAAACAAATAACAATAAGGTGTTTTTTTACTAATGTGTATTATGTAAGACAACCACAATGTGTCCTTAGAAAAGAAGAAACCAAGATATTTCGTATAAAAAGTGTCATTTTAAACTACATGTTTTAGTTTTAATACAGTATTTTTGAATAATAAATCAGGTATAAAGAACTATATTTGAATGAGAGTAGCCTAGATAAAAACCAAAATAAAATTATTGTCATGTTATAGGATGTTTTAAGGTGAAGGAATTGGTATTTGTGATATTTCAGAAGTAATAATAAATGATGGGTCTTTTTATTTGTTCACAGGAGTTGGCTGAATATGAGAAAGTGGCAGACCATGTGAAAGTCACACAGAGAGGTACTGTATTAACAACGGTTTAAAAATAACCCTTTATTGCTCTCCCTTATGATTAAATGTTTATGACCTTCATTAATAAACAAGGTGATATCCAGAGGCCATACAATGTTTCCAGCAGAGATGGATAGTTCCCATTGACCTTGGATAGAGTACTGTCTCACAACAACGTCCATTTTGTAGCCTTCCTGGAGCTTTCAATGATATTGCATTGTTTCCATCAGCAGAAAGACTTTAAGACATTTTGAACAAACCGATTTGTTAAGTTTATTTTTTTCTGTTTCCTTTTCCCGTGGTTGCAATATTACACATTGTAACCATTGACATTTTTACGTTGAGTTGTTCACTTAGGAATATAACATAATGTTACGTAACATACTAATTTCTCCTTATATTTATCTTAACTAGGGATGTCCCGATCACCTTTTTTTGCTCCCGATCCGATTCCGATCATTTGATTTTGACAATTTGCCGATACCGATTTTTCCCGATCCGATCTTTATGCAATGCATTAAGAGAAAAAAAAGGTAACAGATAACGGCTGGTCATCCAACGCGATGAATTCAGCTATCTTGGCTGTTATTTGTTTGGCCTTTTCACTGTTCTGGGGCAGTTTGGTTGTTTCAGTGCCGTTACCTGAGTGGCCGCTGTGTACTCGTCGTGTTGTTGTTGGTGTTTGTATTAGATTGGTCGTGTTGAACGTAGCTCTGTTCTTTCCACCACGCGGATCCTCCGCCTTGCAAACATTGCATCTGGCTGTTACACTGCCTTCGCTTTCAATTTTATAATACTTCCAAACTCCTGACATTTTCTCTGTCCCGACTCCCGAGGCACCAGCTGAACGTAGCCTCTTGTTAGCTTACTGCTACTATTAGACACTGCGCCCACTCTGTTGCCAGATTTGAGAGAAATAAGCAACCAGGTCTATGAAAACAAGCCCAAAAGAACTAACACATACATGATGTTGTGTAATTTTAAACCAAAACTAAGGCCTCAGGATGACTTTAAGACGTGAACATGGTCATTTTTGTTTTGTAACATTAAATAAAATAATTAAAATATTTTATAAAAAAAAAAAAAAAAAAAATTCCCGATCCCCGATTTTTTTCTGCCGATTCCGATCTTTTGAAAATCACGTGATCGGCTCCAATCCCCGATCACGTGATCGGATCGGGACATCTCTAATCTTAACCACCATGCTGTGAGCCTCAGGCCACAGCTAGCAGGATGTTTGTTTGTACATAGACTGTTTACCTGTTTATTTGCACACTAACGGTTTGTGTGTCTGCATTACCATTGTTTTAGCTCATAGAAACAGCATTTAGTAAGTCAACAGATACTTTTGTTCCTTCATGTAAATGTCCTATATTGGTTGTGTTGTTGTACATTGCTCAACTGCTAGTAACCTGCATTTCAATCATGTAACAGTAGCATATTAGCCTAACCCTTCCCATGAGTTCATTTTAAACAATTCCATAACTTGAAATAAACCCAAAGTATGACTTTATTTTCTGGATGAACCATCAACAGTATATCCTATAGAAGTATCTTTGTATTTTATGTGCAGACTTGGAGCAGGACGGCTTTTCCAAGAACCCGTTCTTCCATGGGATCGTCGCTGAAGTGCCTGAACAGCACAAAACCAAAGAAGGTGAGGGGAACCATCAAGAGCCTAGTTTCATCCTACTTCACTACTCACAAAGCATTATGTTAATGTCTGAGCGAGGGAGCTATTTGCATACAAACTGAAAAAAAGATCACACAATTATCCCATGAATTAGAATCGGTACACTACACCTCTTAGTGATGTATTAGCAGGTCGTTTTATCACCTCAATAAAGCCTGATGGAACAACATGCTTTAACATGTTCGTACAGAAAAACCCGAGCAGCAGGTTTCCTTTGTGCTCAGCCAATCAGTTTGAGCCTTTTCCCCCTGCTCAAAGTGGCTAAAGTAAATATAATATATACCGTACATCTAGCCAAATAGGATTATAAGTGTGGACTGTAGCAAGAAACAACAAATTGTTGTACATGCTTGTTTGCTTTTTGAGTAGTTTTGTGTTGTAAAATAAAGAGGAGAGACAATTCCAATGCACTTATAAAGAAACTATTCAACCACAAGTGACATTATTGTGACAATACAAAGGTCTCTGAGGTGCTCTATCAGCTTCTAGAGCAACTGTTTAGAAGCTAATTATTACTGCGAGTCCAAAAGTCCATTTCAATTGGTAATCTCAGAGTGGTCTCACAAAGCTATTGTTGAATTTAGATATCTTTCCATTGAAGTTGTGTTTCTGACAAACTAGTGAATCCAATATTTAGTAAGAAATGTTATAAATCGCAGTTTGGCGAGTGAACCAAAGCAGCAACGCTGGGTGTGGTCGAACCAAAACAACGAACCGACAGACACTAAAACGCCCCGCAGTCAGGTGATAACTAATGTCATTTATCAACTATTACTATAAAAAATAAGGGCAGCTTAATGCACCTTTGATGAATATTAGTGCTCATAGCTACAATTTGATAGCAGGAAAAGAACAGGTGTAATGTTTCTTAAATAAGTGAGAAACACGTGCTATAGAGATGCTGCATTTAACACTTGTTGCCCCCCAGTTACTGAGTTCGTCAATCTGTATTCATTAGCTGTGTGACCACCAGCCTGCAGATGAGGCCTGTTTCCTTACACAGTTTATATAACCAGGTTAACACACTGCTTTTCCACACAGTAATGAGAACATTAACATGCGCTAACTTGTGAATGCCATGTTGAAATCTAGCCGATTAGCAGCAAGTTGAACAAGACTTTTACAATGCTTGTGACAGGCTGCTAGATCCTGACAGTCCACGTTAACGTGTTTTTTTCATCAATAGTCTTAATTCTGTGAAGTTGTGGTCAAATGTTTTTTTGGATATGTGATGCCTTAGTTATATACCTTGGAAATATAAATGATTTTGTCTCTGAAATAATAGATTGTATGCCAAAACATCCTCAATCATAAGTAAGAAGGCAGTAACAAGAAGTTGTTAAAACTGAACTCCCCTTTTATAGATAAATTGTTAAAAATTATAAGAGAGATATATACTATGGTATGATGTTCCTGGCGTGCTGACTTTTCTCTTTTCTGTTTTCTTCTTTTAGGCCATACAAAAATCGGATATGCACTCTACTTCTACTCCTACAGCTCATGGTCAGGCAGAGCTGTTTATATGGAGGACTTGTACGTGATGCCTGAGTTCAGAGGTACAGCAAATTGTCTTAAAAATAGTCATATTATTATTGTTATACAGTAAGCAGAGTGGCATGGTAAAAACAAGACTCACATTTAAAGAAATTTGACTTCATGTGCAGGAAACTCTGGAGTAATTCATGGTATCTTTCTTTCAGGAAAAAGCATTGGTAAAGCACTAATGAGCAAAGTAGCACAGGTGAGTAAAACATTAGCCCAAAGTTTGGCACTGACAGTAAATATATGTTCTATGGAAGGTGGACTTTGTGCCCTTTCTCTTGCAGAATAATGAATGACATGTCTTGCAGTTTAGATACTTTCCAATACCTAATGTCAGCACAGCCGTACTCATGTCTATGTTTCTGCTCCTTTAGCTGGGCCTAGCTGCCGGCTGCAACCAGCTCAACTTCACCGTCCTGGACTGGAACAAACCATCTCTGGACTTTTACCTCAGCCAGGGAAGCTTCGACATCACGGCTGACATGGGCTACCACTGTATGCGCTGCGAGGGCGAGGCGCTGGAGCACCTGGCCCAGCCCTAACCCAACGCCGGACAGGTTGACCTTTGCAGCCGTGAGGTCACACAGTGCAGGGATAGAGCTCCACTCAGCGGCCCTGTTCCAAAACTCGACAATGACAATCAAAAAGCAGATCATTTAAAAATATTGACTGTTTGATAAGCCCCCCTTTATTACTGTTACTAAGCCTATAACGTTTTTAATGTTAGCACAATAATATAGATGGCGGATTTCAACATTTTAAACAACTATTTCACATAGCGGGAATCAAAAGCAGGATTCACACACTTAAAGCAGATGATTGTCAATGTTATTGGCTTCTCAAATCACAACAACTACTGTGTAATAACAACTAGCAGTTATGTTAGCTGTAGTTAGCATCATCTTATTAGCTTGTACTGTCTGCATTACTTAACTAGCATCAGTTCACTAGATTTGCTGGAATTAAACGTTCCCAAATCCAATAAGGAACAGGACAGGAGCGCTAACGTTAGCATAAACTATATCAGATATGGCTACCACACCATACTTAACTTGTAATCCCGCAGTTAGTTAGTATGCACGTGAGCTTTTAGATGTAATGCTCAGTTACTACTGGTAGTAGCTAGTTAGCCAGGCATGCTAACAATTAAAGCTAACATTGGTGTTTCCGCATTTAGGATAAAAACTAAAAAAGACACAGCCTTCCAAACTCTTAACGTACGAGGTAATGCTCTTGCTTCGCACTGCACATACATAAACATCTACCGCCCATGCCTTGTTCTGTGAAAAGGGGTTTAGCAACCTATCAATTTACTTATTAGTTGGAAGTATTGGAACGGGGCCTATGCAATACATTTAAAAAGTACATAACTAATAAATGAAGTATGTGTTTTGTGGTTTTCCCTTGTCATATGTTATGACCCAGAGCACCTTTAAAAATAATTACTCTAGAAATGAAATCCTTGTTTTTGCACAATAATCCCAAAAACTGTTTATGCATTAAAAAGCCAAGATGTGCTGTATGTGTGTCACTGTAAGACTGTTAGAAAAGAGTCCCTTTAAATGTATAATAATCTATAAGAACTAGTCACTCCTGTTGTCTTCCAGATGAAGAGTGCTGTAAAGCTGTTGTGAAGCACAATCCTGCACTGTCTTCCTTCCTATGTATGTACTAAGGGATGAAATTGTGGAGTAAATGAATCAGTTAAACCTTCTTCCATGCAGCCAAACAACCAACTCTTTGGGCTCCTTTCAAAGAAATGAGCTTCGAAATCAGACAAAAGAAAAAGCCATCTGGTGGAATTTGAAAAATAAAAGTCTTGGACGGCTCAGTCCCTGTCTTTGAACCTGTCATGCTAAAAGGAAAAAGGGCATTATTGTGGTTTGCATTTCTGTTTCATATCCAGTATCTGTTTTGTTTTTTTAAAGACGGCCTTCTGTATCATTTCCAGCAGTATAATGAAAACAGTCTGAGTTGTGGGTTAAATTTAGTTTGTTTTCGCTCACTCTAAACAAGTTAGAACCACTGACCCTGCTTTGTGGGTTTTGCAATTTGCATTTCATTTCATACTTTGTTTACAAAATAATTGAGTGAAGAATGCACAGTTTTTTTCAGATTTGGGACATTGGGTTGGAAAATACGTTCCTCTCATGACTGCATTTTAAGTGCCGTCATTGTTCTATCAAGAGTGCATGCCTCACAAAATCAATAGACTCCGAGGGAACATGAAGATATTTATAAATGTTCCTGTCGGCAGCTTCCCATCAGAAACCAGAACCAGAGCCTTAAATTATACAACTTGAGGATTTGTTCCCAACATGGATTCCTAAGAGAGTTTCACAAATTCCTCGTGAGAAACTTTTGCAATAAAACACGCATTGAAGAGCAACTTGGGCTAAAAAACATGACTAAATGTTAGGGGGTTTATTCCGATTTTAATGTGCAGGGTATTTGGTTGTTCGACACGGTGCACAATGTTGATGTTTTGAGCACAGTTGCACAATTGAAGTGCTGTTAAGTTGTCACAAAGAACCTAAGTGCAGTAATACATGTTTTTGCCAGCAGAGAAAAAGTTGTAATGTGTCTGAAATGTTTGAATAATAAAGATGTAATATTAAGGTGCAAAAAGTGTTTAGTGCCATGGTTTCTCCTATACACGTGCTTATGGATTTAATTACATATTTATAAAAAAAATATTAAAATATACAATACCTAAACATACATTCAAAAAAATTATTTGGAAAAATAACTACTTGAAATATATAGTATTATATGGTATACGCTTAAAAGAAAGAACATTTATTTATCAAAAAGGGAAACTTTAGGCAGAGTGCCATTTCCTTCAACCTACAGGGGGCCTACTAACACCATCTGTCCCTTTTGTTAAAAAAATTATAATTAAGATATCATTTTAGTCCTAAAGAAGCTCAGTTTATAGGTTTCTATAAGTGGTCAAATTAAGTAAATACAAATAATATTACCATAGTGTAGAAATCCTATGTTACAAATAAAAGTCCTGAATTACAAATTGTACTTAAGTTGAAAAACTAAACTAAAAGCATCCCTGAATGGCCCATTTCAGGATCATATTTTATATAACTGCATTATTATTATTAATAACTTATACTGTCATCACTTTTATGTGGCAGCTAGTAAATAAAGGCTTAATTCCAAGGACCTTATATAGCCTACTACATATTTTATTTGATGGCCACATTTTGTATTGTAAGTCAATATTAATTGTATGTAAAATACAGTAAAACAACAATATTGTATTAAAAAATACCAATGATAATTGTGCAATACATAGATTAAAGAACATAGTGTGGAATTTTTTACATGTCAGATTAAGCTATTGTTTTTTGGGGATATACATCAATAGTTTGCTTGATCATCCCCACCGGTTATTAACGATGCACTACCGCCCCCGTGCGGTTACAACCGGAAGTGCTGCACGCGTGACAGGCACATATTTCCAGGGCATGCAAGTTGATGAAAGTGTGTGCAGAAGCGGAGGAAGCCCCGGTGCGCCTCGTTTGTTTTTTCCTGCGCTCACATCGTTAGTTTTTACTGCGGACGCACGCGACTGTCACAATATCAAAGCACCGAGGAAAGTTTACTCCAAGTCTCCGGGTGTGTGTGTGTGCGCGTGTGTGTTGGATCTCATGTGTGTGCTCAGTCTGTCTGTCTAATAGTGACCCCCCAGCGCGGTGTTTAAAGGGAAGACAAGAGAGCTGAGTCAACGAATCGCAGGCAGAAGGATGCAACAGTTCATGTGCGCAGCTTGCACTTTTCTTGCGATTGGACGTAGTTGGAGGATGTGGAGGAAAAGATCGGGAACCCTCATCTATTAGACACAATCCTGAGATAAACAGGAAAGATCGACGCGTGAAAAGCATACTCTGTCCACTTGTTTCTCAGCCAATAATGGACATTTAGACACTTTGGAGGGACTTCATGCTCTGCTGGAATGAAGTGGCAGTGGGGGTTCGGCGGTGAGTAGCAGTCTGATCTGCACCCAACATGCATCGCATTCTGCAGAGGAGGAGAGTGCGCAAGCTGCGGGTCTTCTGGACTTCTCTGGCCCTGGTGGCTCTGTCCCTGGCCGCCTGCAGCGCGCTGTTCACGGCGTGGACTTGGAGACAAACGCGGGACCTGTCTCAGTCCTTCAAGATCCTGCAGGACCGAATAGAGCAGGTTTGTATTTTGCATTCTTACGCATAGCATGCATACTCGCACCGAGAGTAATATTTACAACCCCGCGACCACTTCAGAGCTTTAAGTGTTTTATTATGTAACTTTTTGTGTGTGGCTGCGGTTACGGGAATGTTTGCGGGGGGTGTATGGAAAAATGCAAGTCCACACTTCACCCCCTCCTCCTCCTCTCTCCCCCCCTTGCACGTACTCTATTATATTGCACCATTTCTCTACTTGGCACTTTTATTGCTTACCAATAAGTGCAGTCAGGTTGTGTGGAGTTACTGCTTATTTCTGTGTCCACCCCCCTCTGCTGCTGCCCCCGCCATGTTTAATTACTCTGGTGCCAGTTGTGCTGCAGTTTTATCTCAATTTACTGGAAAGCCTCAACTATTTGGCTTTGTTAGCACTTTGTACTGACTGCGCAGAGGCTCGGTGATAAAGTGAGGCAAGTGTAAAGCATTTGCAACATGCAAAGCTTTCTTATTCACAGGTTAGGATGTAAATCAGTGCTGAACTCTGTGCAATCTCATGCATAGTGCAGTTTTAAGACTTCTTGCACTTGCAGAAAATTCTAAACGAGGTTGCATCACACATTATTATTCCAAAAAGCAGCCAAAAAGGAGCTGATGGAAACTCTTCTGGTTTCAAGTTCACAGTATTTACAAAACCTAGTTGCACTGGATTTGAGATCAGAAGGACAGGTCGGCTGTGTGTGACGTTGACAGGCCCACACACACACACACACACAACACACACACACACACACACACACACACACACACACACACACACACACACACACACACACACACACACACACACACACACACACACACACACACACACACACACACACACACACACACACACACACACACCCCAAATTGGACACGTGGAGTGTTGATGCTGGAGCTTTTCCCAAGGGGCCCCCGTTCTGTCCATTTGACCGTTGGCCAACTCCTGATGAGAGCCAGTGAGTGAACGTCTGGAGAGCGAAGAGCAAGTCGCTGCCTCCATTTCCACAGTAGCAGTACATTTAAACAGACTATCCCGAGCCACTATCCCTCTTGCTTCATCTAAGGCCTTCTTCGGTCACTCAGGCCCCCTGCCAAAGATTTGTAAACTTTGATAGCTCGACAAAAAACTATTTATTTCTCAGAAACAGGAGTAAAGATGCGAGGAATGCCAAGCACTAAAACCATGCATTAGATGTCGCAACGCGTCTCTGAGGAAGTGGTAGACCTATTCTAATGCGAGGGGCAGCATACTGGAAGAGAGGAGCCTGTTTATGTGGCTGTCTGGCTGGGAAAGGCCGTCTGTGGCTGCGTTGGAGCGGTGCCAGAAAAAAGTCATAATAAACTTATTGGACATTTGTTAATGGTGCGTTTTTTCTCTCTCTTTCAACAGGTTAACACACAGAGGAAGGCCATTGTTCAGCTCATTCTGGAGAAGAGAGAGCTGCTGGTCGGGCACAGAGTGAAAAGAAACGGTACTCTTACTTCCACACCAATAACATATAGAAGCTTTGCCCCAAATCACCACAGACACAATGCCCTCGCCTCTGCTCTGTTGTTTTCTTTGGGAAGGACATTTGACACAAACGCTGGCACCACATGCCACTTTGGTCAGGTCTAGCGGGCCACAGGCACAACCCGCTGCTAAAAGTTGACACAGGATAAAGTAGGCAGCTGGATTTCAGAAATTACAGGTCTGACCGGCGCGGCCTCAGAGCCCAGGAAACCAGCTGGCGCGGGACGGAGGCCTTGTTGCACGCTTTTGGCCAATGATATAAGATTTTTTTTCGTTCCCCTCCGAGCACACGACTAACACAGCTATGATTTGTTGTGAAAGCGGTGATATTTGATGACCTATCATTGCAGTATTTATAGCGGCTGCTTGCGTCACCGTCACGGGTTTCTGCTTGATGGTTCACATTGTCCGCGAGTGAACCCTCACAGGCTGGATTCCTGACAAAAGGATTCATTTAGAGAGCTGCGTGTCTCACCAAAGTATCTATTTATATCCTGCTGATATTGGCTTTTTTCTTTCCCAACCGATACCTGCATTTGTGCCTGTAATTCATAGGGCTAACAGCTTTTTCCAGTTTGTGGAAAGTTGACCACCGCGGTGCAGCGTTTCAGCCGCACACTGCCGTTATGTTCTCTCCTGATGACTGACAGCTTAAGTCAGGAAACTCTGGCCAGCCTGAGGGCTTTACACTCGGCCATAGCAAATCCTAAATCTACAGGGTCACCCACCTGCGAGTTATTTTAGCAGGGACTTAATATTCCTGTGCGATCGGAGGGGGCCCCGGTGTTTGGCCACTCCGTCTCCAAACATAAAGAATGTACTTCTTAGTTACGCGCAGTATTGGAGTTGTATCTGTGTCTGAAATCGCTCCCTTTAGGCTAAAATAAACCGTTAGTGAGTAACAAGAGCAGGCATTCTGCTGCTTTGGCCTCTTAGTGTTTTATTTATTGTATTTATCTGAGTAGCTGTTGCTTCACTTCTTAATCGACTATTTCGGGTCACAGAAGAGCCAGAGACCTTTTTGCCTCTCTTTTTCCAGCACTTCATTTCTCTTATTAAACGTTTTTAGCTCTCGCATGCTTCATTTAATGCCTTCACTTTCCCCCTGTCTATCTTGTGTTTGTCTGCCCCCCCCCCCCTCCACACACAGCTCTCCATCCTCCCTTACTCTATCTCGCCTCTTTTCTTTTTGTATTTTCTAGATGACTGCGACCAGCTGGCACTAAGATTAGCCCCTAAAGGCAAAAAAGGCACACTCCTTTGACTGAAAATAACAGTTTGAGGAAATATTTTTGAAGCACGTGACAGGAAATCCTTTGCCCATCTGCTAATCCCGTTTTAAAAAAAGAGCCAGGTTTAATCTTAAAGACCGCAAATTAACACATGCTATTAGACAGATACAGATGGGAATGATTGTTTTATAAAAAAAAAACAGACGTATTTCTTCTCTGCCATTCATATTCTGTCTCTGCTTGCCTTTCCGAAGGGGGGGCGCTGCGAGGGAGGAATGGAAATGGAAAGAAAGCGGCGTCTCATTTCGAGAGTAAGTAGCTTGGCAGATCCCTTATAGCCGTCTCGTGTAGCATCTGCAGAAGTGGTTTCAATCATATACCCCTATACGATTGCACTCGTAAAATCTTAATTGACTTTCCCTTTTCCTTCTCTTTCAATGTCTCCGTTACATTCCACCAGTAACCAAAGTCTCCTCTCAGCAAGGTAAGTCGTAAAAGTGACGGATGGAAGATAATCTGTGACATTTTTGTCTATGACATGATTAACCTCGAGTGTGTGTGTGTGTGTGTCAGTGGGAGAAGGTGGTGTGATAAAGGGTTGGGAAGAGAGGACCTTGAATATGACTAAAGCGGTGAAGTACAACAAGGAACTCGGCATCTTCACTGTGGAGAAAGCTGGCGTCTACTTCCTGTTCTGCCAGGTGAGTTTGTGCTGGGAGTTGTAGTTTATTTACAAAGGTCAACATCACTCAATTGCCAGGTAGTTAATGCTGGATCGGTGAGATTCTTTGATGATGTTGCCCACTTGCAATCAATAACCTTGCTGATTTTATGTAGTCCCTGTGGCGGAGATTAGATAATTGAACATGTAACGGGAAACAGTTTGTCTTTGTACCAAAATGTGGTAGGTATTGAGGAAGGTAACTGCACTATTTGGCACTGGTATCAAACTATTTGAGACGCTGCCCTGGGCCTGGATATTTTATTTTCCTTCACTTCGCTATCTTTGGGACGTTTTCGCGTGTCAACCTCCAATTGTATGCATGCATCCAAGAGAAGGCTATAGGAAATGGCAGACACAGCGCCAACAAATGCAAATGAACTAAGGTGAAACACCCAGCGGACAAAACTCTATCCAAAATGAGTGAATTTGGCGCTAGCTTTCACCAGCTAGCAACAACTTAACCCTGGTTGAGCCAGGGACAAAGGGCTCATTTTGAAAGTCATGTTCACAATCAATCGACAAAACCTTCCTATTCCAGAGGTAAAGTGGTGATGAAACGTTAGATTTCCTTCATGCAACTAAAGTGAATCAGTCTTTGGATGCAGCCCCACTTCTAAGTTTCCTTCCCTTAAGCGGCTTCATTAAAAACAGCCATTATTTTGTACAAACATGATGTACTGGTACTTATCATGTATTTTTGGAGAGGTGGATATCAGGTTTCGGGTAATCTCGGTTTTGTCAGGTTGACAGAAGTCTGGAGAAAATCTAGCCAAACGATAGCGGGGCCTCAGAAATCCCGAGGTAGGGTCGGTTAGTTTTCGTTGGAACGGTTGAGGAGAAACATGTTGTGCTGATGGTAATCTGCTCTGTCTCCTCAGGTGCTGTTCAACGAGCAGCAGTCTCAGTATGTGAAGCTGGACGTGGTGACCAGCGGCCAGAGGCCTCAGAAGCTGCAGTGCATCGAGGGCTACGGGACGACCCCCTCCGCCGGGCCCCACCCTTTCCACTTCCTGAAGCCGTGCCAGGTGTCCGGCCTGCTCCGATTGGACAAGGGCACGGAGCTGCAGGCTATCACAGGCTCTGCATTCAGACTCCACTCTCTGGGCAATCCCTCCGCCTCGCCTCACATCTTCAGCATCTTCAAAGTCAACTGAACTTTGGATCTTGTTCATACTAACTCAGAAGTCTTTGCACGGATGACATTTGGTCCGGGGCGTCCCATCACGCCGCTGCCTCTTTCCAAAGACCGTCATTTGAAAGACAAACATTTGTGGAAGTTGTTCTGGAATTTTTTCTCTTGACAGCTGTGCTGTTTTTCGAATGCAAAACGCAGACTTTTGGATTAAAACCAAAACCAGAAGAAGGTTGAAATTCCTCAATGCAAGTCTGCCGAGAGAACAGATGTGATGGAAGCCGATCTGCCGATTGAGCGCTTTATATAAACAGAAAAAACAAGATGTTCTTCGTAGCCTTTGTATCAATTAATTAATTGTGCTTTTTTTTTTATAAGACTGACAGTAAAGCTGTGCATGCACCTTCCACTTTTATATCACCGGTGCCTCAGGAAGCTGAGCGCACGTCTGAGTCGGATCTCGACACTATAAGTTGTCAACGGTATTTTATACAAAGCAGCGTCTGTGTGTGAAATCTAATTAATCAAACAAGTATACTGATTTTATGACTTTAACAATGCAATGTGTGTTCTTGAAATACTTTGTATATACTTCACTCATATTTTACTTGTTTTGAATAACGTGGATGTGAATTTGTGCTCTTTTCTAAAGGTCAAATCTGATTGTAAGGTATTTGTGTGTATAGCGTTGGCTTGACTTTTTGAAAGTACTTTTAGTAAGCAAAGCATACAGGTTTAAATGACATTTAACTGCCTTTGTTATCTGTTTGATGGTGCAATAACCATGTCTTGCAAATCATCAGATAATTGTTGATTTACCCTTAAAAGTCAGTGATTCAAAAGTATTGGAAAGGCCCTCATATGGCCAAGTAAAAGTAAATAAGACAAATAAAACATTTATTTTAAAGGACTGTTTTGGACTTTCAATGACTCAAATAATAAAGTTTCTCAAAGTCAGAAAGGAAACTTTTAGATTTGGGAAATCACTTTTTATCTTGTTTACATATTGAAAACTTTGCAGACAATAACTACAACATTCAAATTTTCGATTGACGGTCAAATGGGAAATGAAATCCAATATTTATTTACATTAAGCGTCTAATTTTGGTTCTCAGTCAGATTGTAAGACTGTAACTTCTTTATTTTGTACCTCTTTTTTAGATTGAAACTCATTCCATTTATCATATGCTGCTGCTTTCTGTAATATTCCCTGCTATTATACAAACAGTGTGTATTTCTAGAAGTGGGTTCAGCACTCCCACTCTTGTTTATAAGTAGTTTTTGTGGACGGACCGCATTGGTTTCTCCTCAGCACTTTACTGCAGCGAACGTAGTGTTTTTAATTGGAGCCAAAAATGTGTGTTTTCAGATGGAAAAATGTCAGATTTTGAAATGTAGACGTTATATCCTGTTGGTTTTCCTCATCGTTTTCCTCTTCCCTTTTTAGTCTCACTCATCCTCCCTACACCTCATATTTCCATGACAGCACGATAAGACCGCACACACACACACACTGAATCCCCTGAGTGTCCTCTGCACACGGCAGCCATCTAAATTTTCACTTCCTGAATCTGAACCTGACCACATAGCTGAAGGTCTTTGAGGAAAAACATGCCTCGTCCCCACACACACACACACACACACACACACACACACACACACACACACACACACACACACACACACACACACACACACACACACACACACACACACACACACACACACACCACACACACACACACACACACACACACACACACACACACACACACACACACACACACACACACACACACACACACACACACACACACACACACACACACACACACACATTCACACATGCACAGTATTACACACTTCCCTGACCCGATTCCTATTTTTTAAATGTCAAAGTTTATTATTGCGTTGTTGTGAAGTCTTGTGAAGAAGTTCTTTCTAAAATGATGATTTATGCAATGCGTGGGTGTTCTTTTCTTCTTAACTCACTTGTCATAAAAGTTGAATAAACTTTTTTGTTTATTTTGGAGAAGTTCCTTTAAGTATGTCGAAAAAAGTTGTCTTTTCCAGAATGAGTTATGTCTGCAAGTTTGATACCCATTAATTGCAATAATATATCAATATTGTTAAAGGGGCCCTATTATGCTCATTTTCAGATTGATGGGGTGTAAATGATAAATGGACTGTACTTATATAGCTCTTTATCAGGTCTTTTCGACCCCTCAAAGCCCTTTATATACTCCGAGTCATTCACCCATTCACACCTCATTCATGCAGAGCACTAGCACTTGATCTAGGGAAGCTACATTTGATACACGTTCACACACTGTTAGCCATCGGGAGCATCTCAGGGTTAAGTATCTTGCCCAAAGGATACATCGACATGTTGACTGAACGGGCTGGGATCGAACCCAAAGACGAACGCACTCCCTCACAGCCACAGTTGCCCCTAAGGTGTGTGGGAGAGAAACTCCCTTTGGAGGGAACTTTGGGATTTGGGACCATTTACATGCACACAAAACCTTTATAACACACTACAGGAAAGGGAAAACCCCCCAAAACTATAATAGGGCCCCTTTAATGAGGCCATCAGTGTGCACTTAATGGGAGTTGACTTGTCCACAAGGAACAATGGAGCTGAGATAACAGTGAATAGTAAATAAGGGAGCAGGCTGGCTTCTCATCTACTGTCATCATGAATCACTGACCATCTGATCCTGGAGTTTGTTGCCATGCATGTGTCACTGCATCGTCTTCACAGTCGCCCACATCAAGATCGTTCTGCTTTCACACCTCCTGTGCAGATTAACAGAGTTATTAGTCTCTGAAGCGGCTATTGGTTCCTTTTTTCTCGAGTATCTGAAGGAAATAGGTGTTACATTTCAGATTAAATATATGCAGGAAATGGGACAATTTGGGAAAAAGTGGAGCCTTAAATGTTGTTTTCCTCTCAATCTGCCTTTACATTAGATGAGTGTCAATTAAGAGAGAAACATTTATAAAGAGACTTTCAATTTATATCAAGTTGCATTTGCACACACTGGAAGATTTAAAACTCACATTGAACGAAAAACAAATAAAACAACCATACTCTTAGAAATGAAATGTAAGCATTAAATGCAAGCTTGTTCAATTCAATACACTTTAGGGTTTTGCTGCACACGTAGGCAGTCTTACATGGTCTGAAATGGTAGCCTAGGTTAGCCAATGTTAGCAATTGCACAGTTTTTGCAGCAAAGTCAGTTTTTCTGAAACATCATAGACTACATGCAACTGAGCTAAACAAAACATTTACTGCTTGGAAGCCTGTGCCTGCAACTGGTTATTGATCAATAAACAACCATCTTTTTCAGGAAAGTCTTACCAGTTAAGAGGACAAAACTCACAAAAATTAACCAACAATACACCAAAAGTGCCATGGACACCACGGCGGGTGGATCAAGTATTGATACTGTAAGCCAAGAACTAACCTGCCACTTTAACACAAGACCAAAACACAGAGGAAGAAGTACTCAGATGATTCACTTAAATAAAAGTAGCAAAACTAAAAGTACTCTGTTCCAAGTTGAAGTACTGCATTCAAAACTGTCCTCAAGTAGAAGTAAAAAAGTATTAGCATTAAAATATACGTAAAGTACCAAAAAAGTACTCAGTATGCAGAATGGCACATTTAAGCACCATATGTAAATGATTGTATTATAATTATTGATGCAATAATCTCTTCATCACTTGGTAAAAGTGGGGTTTATTTGAATGACTTTATATAATACTGGGTAGCTTAACCTATAATAGTATATAATCATGAATTAGTTGATTAAAAATGTATATTTGTAATCTAAATGTGCAAAGTAGCAAATAACTAAATCTGTAAAATAAAAGGTAGTGCAGTAAAAACTACATTTGTCTGCAAAATATCTCAGAGAGTATAAAGAAGGATAACGTGAAAATACTCAAGAAGAAAAGTACAAGTAGCCTACCTCAATGTTTTACTTGAGTAAATGTACTTAGGCTTTACATTACAGTAACATTGACAAAACATCACAAGGGCAGAAAACAGAGAGGTATAAACAATATTAACTCAACAGCAGCTACATACAGCCCACAAACACACGCAGAAAATAGACCCTAAACATGGCATAACATGGCATTTATGGGCATCACACACACCAATAATCACTATGCAATAGTGTGGTTGTTGACAGCGCCATGTTTGTACAGTGGTTTGTTGTTGTACTCACCGCGAAGTCCAACAGGAATTATAAAACGGACAAGTAAAATCAAGCAATCTGATTGGTTCTTAGCCGTGGTATACTGAGCGTATACCACGGGTAGAATTGTAAGTTACTTTTCAAAACAACTCAGTAACCCTCCGCGTCTGAGATAAACAGTATACAGTTGGGCCGAAAAGCAAACTGCTTGCTTCGCGTCGGGCCGAACCACGCCCCTTAGCTGTGATATAATGAGCATATACCACGGCCTGTCGTGAGCTATTGCTTAAATATAACCCGTCAACCCAGCCTCTTTCTTCCCAGGTTCTCAGACTCAAACTGCACAAATGTCCTCACCAATACATCACTGAATGTAAAATAAAATAAAAAGAGTAAACCCTGGAGTATCCGCCACCCGGCCAGGACAGCAAGGTAACCAAATCAAACAAACCCACATGGATGCCTGCAGGTGCATTATGGGTGTAGCTAAGACACTAGCTAAATGCTAACATTCTTCTTGTGCATTTATGCAAGTGAGGGATTCAGCTAAATGCTAATTAGCAATAGCTCAGCATGCTACCTTTCTGACAATGATACTACTGCAAGAAGTATTATTCAGAGCCTTTAGTGTACCAATACATTTATGTCAAAATACTCCATTACAAGTAAAAATCCTGCATTTAAAATCTCACTGTAGTTAAGTACAGTACAGTTAGAGTAAATGTACTTAATTACTTTCCACTTCTGCTAACATGCTAAAGTTTAGCAGGTGTAATTCTTACCATTTTCACACTTAGCTTTGAGCTACATTGGCTCATTAGCACAAAACACAGCTAAGGCTAGAGGGGGAACTAGATTTTATTTAAAATTTAAAATACAGAAAGCAGTATAATACTCCACTACATTAAAAGAGTATTCAACACATGTATATATATAAAAAAAAGAAAAAAAAAGTGAGTATTATCTGCAAAATGCGCTTCAAGTATCAAATGGAAAAAATAGCCTATACTCTGTAGTCAATCAGTCAGTCTATTTAAAAGAAAAAACCACACAGTGCTTTTTATCGTTTCATTCAGTTTTATTACAAACAGAAAAAAAAAGAAAGAAAAAAAAGGTGATGCGTCGTCACTGACAGGTTTCACTGCCATTTGAGCGGCACCACTACATACACAGTAACACAAGATACCCAGAAATGAACACAAAATCTGGAGAGAGGACAAAGTAAAAGTGAAAAAAAAAAATGTAAGTGCTTTAAACATTTTAGTTCAGGGGTTGCAAAAACATTTGTATATGTAACATAACTCATAACATGGTCTGAGACTACTTCCTGGGACGATAAGTGTATCATGTCTGGGATTTATGAGATAAATTAACCCCTACAGTAGCTATCGTTTTTAACTTAAAGCAGACTTGGATTTACAGGTTGACATCAGGTTCTAAATTCAGTTGAATGATTTTACATTTGTTCAGCTATGTTTATTAAGGCGATTTTTAATGATGCTTTATATAAAATGAGTTTCAAGCCTTTGATTTTCCAGATAATAACCGTGTATTTTTACTTGGGTTACATTGTATACATTATCTTTCTGCTCAAAGAGGCATTAAGGGTAACATCTGGCCTATTTTCTATATATGTCATTTGCAAGCCCCAAATCTAAAAAACAATTAAGAAAAACAAGTTTTCTTGCAATATATCTACC